TGTGTGTGTGTGTGTGTGTGTGTGTGTGTATGTTTTAGTGAAAGGTGCATGTGTATGCATGTGTCTCAATGGAATTTGTGAGTGTGTTGATGTATCTTTGTGTTTGTGTATTTCAGTGAAACATATTCTTATGTTTAAAATGTATGTTCATCTGTATGTCTATTGCAGTCTGTGATTGTGAAGAGTATTGAGAGAAATGCTGCCAACATGTATCTGACTCGAGAAATCCTGCTGGGCCTGAAGACAGATGCTAAAATTTCAGCATTACACAGCAACATATTGAAAGGGGATACACCACATTTTGGTCTCTCTCTGGCTGGTCTCGGTAAGTGGAGCTAAGTCTTGCATTTGTGCATGGCTTTTTAAAACTTTTCTATTTGACTTAACATCAGTGGGACTAACACCAGCATCAGCTGAGAATGCAAGAAGACAGAGATACTAAATTAGATGTTTTCTCCTTATGGAAATAAGTCTGTTCCTTTGAGTATTAGCTACTTAACCAAAGAGCAGGTTGTTGAAATGATGATCAAAAGATACTACAGTTGAACCTATCCAAGGTGACCACCCATTGTCGGGGAGAAAAGTGGTCATCTTAAACAGGTGGTCCTCTTTTACAGTTTCATTATAATATAGGTAAGACGCAAAGTGGGGATGGGGAGTGGGGAGGGAATAGTAGCTTGTACTGGTGATTATCTTGGACAGGTGATTGTTAGAAAGGTTTGACTGTATATCTCGTATCTATGCTCAAGGAGAGATTTTCTGAGCAGAACAGATTATTTTTTCAAAAGCATTTCTTGAAATCAGGTCCATCATGATTAAAAATATTATTTTTACACTTTGCTGACCATTAGTAACACGAGACACTTGCTATACCTTACTAGGAATATATCTCCTAATAATAGACAGAGATAAATGATCCATTTTATAATGCAAAAGTACAGAGAACTTTATGTTGGATAGATCATAGGTATAGAGAAGTGCCCACGGATCTTTTTGGGGCTTTTTCCAAGAGTTTGCTAATTGAGCAAATACCATCCATCCCAGACTACACTGTGCAGGTTGAGTTTTGCCAAAATTTCTCTAAATTGTGAAGTGTTTGTACAATGGAATATATTATTGTGATAAGAAGTTTGAAAAGAAATGCACATATTCTTACAGACTAAATTTTTTATTAAGAAGGAATAAATTGGTGTTTTTCTCATCTCCTAACTCAACTCAGTTTTCTTTTTTCTTTTCTGTAACTGCAGGCTTCCTGAGTCCCAACATGCTCAACATGAACGCGGCCAACTTTGTGGTCAACGGTCAGCCCTCGGGGGGCAGCGCGGGAATAAGTGGCTCCCCTTGCCCTGCCAGTCCTGTCAGTCCTAGCCACTGGCTTGCTCAGAATCCCAGCACAGGTCAGTGTTAAAAGTAGCCATAACCTTTTCAAAATCTAACCAATGACTCTTTCTATATATATATATGAAATGTGGTTTCTTAGGAGACTGCTAAGAGTATTGTGGAAGGAAAAGAAATCAAATGAGGTAGTGCTTGATGAAGCCCACATGGGACGCTCAATGTTAAAAACAATCAGGAAACGACAAGTGCAGTTTTTGGGACACCTGAATAGACATAAGGGTCTTGAACATCTAGCTCTCACTGGCAAAATTGAGGGTAAGCGAGGCAGGGGTAGGCCCAGAACAACATACTTAGGGAACCTAAACAAATGGGTAACAGGAAAAAATCAGGGAAACGTAGCTTTTCTGAGAGCATCCGAGCAAAGGAATGAATGGAAAATCATGATCGCCGATGTCTGTCACAGATCTGGCACTGGATGATGATGATATATATGACAAGATAATTGTTGTGAGACCTGCCCTGAAGTGTAGTTCTCTTAGCCACTAGCTGGCTCCGAATCCCAGCACAGGTCAGTGCACTGGACTCAAACTCGGAACCCTTGGTGGTTATTGTCATGAATATCATTGAGAGTGAAGTTTTTCTCTTTGTAGGTGGTTTCTCTTTTCCTTTTTTGTTGCTGTTTGTTCCCTGATCTGTGCATGGTAAGAGGTTGTCATTTTCATGCTTATTTGCAGTAATGGAAAAGATTCCACCTTTTGAAGTCAACGTAAGATGAAGTATAAGTAGACATTAACTAGTGGACAGAAACTGAAGGAGCATAGGACTACGTTGTATGACTTGTTGTCGATCAAAATAACACTTTTATCATTGAAAATGGTATTGTTCAGCCAGCAGTGCATAAGCCGGATTGGATCTTAGTGCTTCAAAACAGCCTGACAGTCTCGCACTAAGCAATTGATTTGGAGTGAAGAATTAAAATACAGTATGTTTGTGCGTGTGTCAGCCACTCAACGTGTTTGTGTGTTGGTCCACCCACAGCTGTGTACAGCCCCCTGATGGTGGTGACCCCAGCCAGCTCAGTGCCCTCTCTGGACGTCCTGAGCCCCAGCTCTAACGGCTTCCACCATGACTTCAGCAGCAGCGCTTTCATACGGGTGCCCACACCACACGAACCAGGTAGGCGTTGGTTTGTGCATGCTTTCTGTAGCTTTTCCATCGTTGTTTTTTATGCTTTTCTTGTCAGGCAATGTAAGTATGTAAGTTTATTCAGTGTTTAAGGCCATTGGCCCTCAGCACATCACATAAAACACTCATTTGTTAAATAAAGTTTCCATAATACAGGTTGTGTACATATCTCTTATAATGAATGGGTCAAACATTGCATTTTTCTGCCATTCGGTTGAGTCAGGCTGGGAGGAAGTAACAATTTCTTTTGATGCTCAAAATTACAGTCAATGTGAAACGCCATTTAAGAGGGACTCGGGTCACCTGACAATCTAGAGGTCTTCAAACAAAAGCTTGGTGCAAAACTTTTTCTGAGGTGTTACAATGGTGATGGTTTAACTTCTACTGTCTTTGTGGCTTGATAGAGAGACTGACGCAAAGTGCATGTTTGATTGTATAAGATTGTAGATGTGTATGTGCACATATTATCATGCTGACTTATGTAGGCCTAAAGTATTGTCGATACTGCGTGACAGCCAGCCACCTTTACAAAACAATCACCTGTACAAACAGCCACTTCCCATTTCTATACTTGTGTGGGTTTTTTTACATTATAATGACTCTGAGTAAGACAGCCACCCGTCTAAGACAGCCACTTTTCTCCTTAACAGTTGGTGGGCGTTTTTGACAGTTTGGACTGTATATGTATGTGTGTCAGTAAGAGTGTATTTACGTTATATCCTTTTCCTTTGGAAAGAGTACTTTCCCAGTTTGTTCCTTACCATATATATAAAGAACACATAGGGGCTCTCGTGGCCTAGAGGTTAAGGTGTTCGCCTCTCATTCAAAGGTCCCGGGTTCGAATCCGGGTAGCGACCAAAAAATTTTCTTCTCTAAATTTGTCTCCTTTCACCTCCTTTCCTACTGTCTAGCAATGTTCTGTCGTCTGCTTTCGTCTCTTCTTTCTGCCCCCCACCCCTTCACCTCCTTTGTCCCCTCCTCTGGGCTCCTGATTCTTTCTGCAGCCTTTCTACTGTTACTCATTGGCTTCTTCTTACTGCTGTCTTTCAGCCACACCCCTGATCTTCTGGTAGGAAAGATCTACACCTAGCCTTCTCGGACAAGGGCGAAAAATCTCGGAGGTCCTGTGTGCAAGTTGTGCACGTTAAAGATCCCTTAGTGGTCTAAAATCGATAAGAGTAGGCTTCGGCCGCCACCCGGGCAAAATTCACAATTTCCTACCAACTGAAAAAGTTTAGTGTGTCCCGCGCGCTCATATGACCTTAATGCAGTTGCGAGCGCCGTAAAACACTTACCAAAACAACAAAACAAACTACAAAGAACACATGGCCCACAAGAATAAATTTTCTTTTTCTCTTTCCTTTTATTTTCTCTGACTTGAGGCTTGCTCAGAAGGTGATCTTGTACTTGTATCATTAGTTTCAACTCTTGCTGGTCTCTACTCAGGAGACTGGGAACTTTTTCGTCCAGGCATGTTGTTTCGAGAAATATAGATATTCACACTGTTATCGCACTGTTTGATTGTTTGTCTGTGCAGGTCACAGTAGTAACAACAGTGACTCCACCAGCCCCCCTCACAGTCCATCCAACAGCCCCACACCTGTTGGACTCTGCAACACTGCAGGTAGCTCTCCAGCTCTCTCTCTCTTTTTCTCTCTTTATGTCTCTCTCTTTTTCTCTCTTTATGTCTCTCTCTTTTTCTGTCTTTCTGTCTCTTCTCTTTTTCTCTCTTTATCTCTCTCTCTCTCTCTCTCTCTCTCTCTCTCTCTCTCTCTCTCTCTCTCTCTCTCTCTCTCTTTTTCTCTCTTGTCTTTCTGTCTCTCTCTCTTTTTCTCTCTTGTCTTTCTGTCTCTCTCTCTTTTTCTCTCTTTCTGGCTCTCTCAGTTTCTCCTCTCTCTCTCTCACTCTTTCCATGTCTCTCTCTCTCCCTCCCTTTCTTCCCCTCTCTGTGTCTCTGTCTCTGTCTCTGTTTTGTCTTTCTGTTTCAATCTCTGCCTCTGTGTCTCTCTGTCTGTCTGTCTGTCTGTCTGTCTCTCTCTATCTATCTATCTATCTCTCTGTCTCTCTCTCTATCTGACGATCTGTCTCTCTATCTATCTATCTATCTCTCTCTCTCTATCTATTTGTGTGTGTGTGTGTGTGTGTGTGTGTGTGTGTGTGTGTGTGTGAAATAATATCTATTCTCATTTGCTTGTGATGTTGTGGAAGGTGCGTTTCATCTATGCAATGGGTGATGTGTAGCAAGTATAGTTAGTGAAACAATTGACATTTGCTGGGACAACTCGAGTTTGAATCACTTTTCTTACCTGGGATCGTATTCACCGACAACAGAGCTATGTCAAGGCTCTATGTTTCTTGAATAACCAACAGAACTGCTGTGCTGGTGAGCTGCTGGCAGTGGCTCGAGTGCATTCCTTTATGACGACCTCAACATCAAATTACTTTTCGGCAAAACAGGTCTCTTTTAACGGAAGTTCTTTCATTAGATGAAGAACTATCAAAATAACCTTGTTTTGATTGAGTAACCAATTACCTCGTTTTGATTAATGACCAATTTAGTGACATATGTGTGCCTTTCAGATTTTGTACCAAAAGAGTTAACTTAACCTTTTCCTTTTTCAATGCCTGCTGCCTCACAGCTGACCTGGCCAACCTTCAAAAGACAGGCACCCTGGGTGAGGCATTGTCTCAGAGCACCACCTCCACTCTCCTGGCCGGGGTCATACAGCACCAGCACGCACTGCAACAACAGCAACAACAACAGCAACAGCAGCAGCTTCACAAGTCTGCACAGCAGCAGCCACTACCACCACACCTGCAGCAGCACCACCACCACTGCCACCCCCAACATGTGCACCACCACCACCATCACCAACACCCACTTGACCTGCTCGGGTTGAGTAAAACGGCCTCCCTGACGCAGCTTAGCTCCATGACTCAGTGCCCGCCCTCCCCTGCCCCGCTTTTCAACGGATTGGCCCACCATCCCAGACATATGATGTAAGTGGATGGACACAGACGCTCAGTCGGTCCAATTTTCAATGTTGGTCTTGGTTTCTTTTTGGGGGGGGGGGGGGGGGGGAGGTATTGGGGGAAAGGCCGGGGGGAGGGGGGGGGGTAAATTTTTATTTTCATATTACTCTGATAGATTTAGAGTTTAAATTCTTCTTTTTAATGATTATATGTTATAGTTGGTAAAGATTTAACCTGCATTCTTATATTTGTAATTGGTTTATAAAAATCATTTTAGCACTGCTAATTTGTGTAGACTTGTTTTTTTTTATAATTCTTCTTTAAGTTCCTTTTGTGATTAGACTTGAATTATGATCTGGTGACCGTCTTTGGCAGAATTGCCCTTTTTCAACTTTCAATTTCCCAAGTCTTAAGCATGTGCAATATACATTGAATATTTATCTCATTGTGTCTCATCCTACTGTAGGTGATTAGAGGGTGCCACTTATAGGTCCAGTACCTTGATTGTTATCTCAATCTTCTGTTGTTTCTGTCGAGTACCTTAAACCCTTTGAGCCCTGAACTACTGAGGCAGCCTGAACTCCTGAACGATTCATGCCTTATTTCATATCATCGTCAGCAGCACATTCCATATCCCGCTCAGGGTAGTCTCCATCTTTACTAGTATCTAATTCAGAAAGATCTTCAAAATAATCATTTATGTTTCGTGTAGTAAACTCTGATTTCCGTAGGCGTTTTGTCTCAGGTTGGTCAGTTTGGGGATAAAGTCTTGCTCACCAGTGTACCGGTAACTGGGTATATGGGCAGTTTTACACGCCACCGGTTTTACGGTGGCTAGGGCTCAAAAGGTTATATCAGACAGTTAAAATTTCTAAAATAAATGTGTTACGACGCAGTGGAATCAGGCAATCGTCAATTTTTGGGCATGTGGAGTTATTGGTATCATCTGAAAACTTATTCATTTGTTTCGTTTTCAGTGAAAGCAATACGCATCTTTCTTGGATAGAAGTCAAGATATTTGAAATTAAAGGGTGTGAGGTCGCCTGGTTTCAGTGGTGAAATTAGCAAGAAAATGGCTGCCAAAGTTTGGTAACTCCAATAGATAAAGAGTCCTTGAAAACTGAAAAATTATATATTTTGTGCCTTTAATCAACATTTTTTCAGAATATTTATATGGATGGATGTTTTTGTATGGACATAAAAGGCTTTGATCAAAAAAAAAGAAAAAATTGATAGAAATTGCCTAACTGGTGGAAAAATGTCTTTTCCTCTGATTTTGTTACTTGGACAAGTGCCTGATTTCACCAAGATGCCTCACAAATGACAATTCTAACTTTTTGTCTGCCTCTCCCACCTGTAGGAACGGCGATGAGCAAGTTGATCCATCTGGCCCAGTAGAGACAGAGCCCTCAGACAAGCTGGCACCAGGCATTGAGCGCAAGAACTCGGCCACTTCCTTGTTCAACTCTCCACTGCAGTTCACTTTTGATTATGAGCAGAAGAAACTCCTGGCCATGAAAGGTAAGCTGTGGCCTGATATGGCACTACCTCAGGCTTTCAAAGTTTTGTCTGACATTTTTGGCCATTTTGAATAACTAAGACCATGACTTCGGAAAGCAAATCTGCACTATCAAAATCATAAGAATATTCGAAGTCGTTATCAAGATATTTAAAGAATTGCATTGTAAAAAGCTTGACTTATTGTGAAACTCAAACATTTTGCGGACCAGGTATAGTATTAAGCAGAAAGAGTTTTGTAAATCTGAGGTTGTGATGGGTTTAATATGTCTTTGAAACGAACAAGAATTTTTAGGAAATCGGATTTCGACATTCGTTGCAGATTGGACCAAGGTGCATGGGTATATATCTGTAGTGCTATTGGAAACTCTAAAAGTGACTCTAGCTTTTGCTTAAGTTATAGGTTTGGCCATTACTTCAGCGTTCTGTGGTCAGCTTGGTACCAATTCTGCTAATGTCGTGGGTAAGGACAAAATTTATTTGGGCACCATGTATATACTGCCAGAAAATTTCAGATTACTTTTTTCCAAAGAACCTCAATTCTTATTGCTTAACAGTTTCTTATGTTATTCTCACCCGCATGGAAATTTATTTGTGCTGATTATCATGATGTACGCACCAATAATTTTGAAATCTAAATAAAATTAAATTGAATCAGTTCTTGAACTCAAAATTGTACCTCTCATGTTCTACAACAGCCATGCAGAAAAAACCGGAGGGAGAGTCTCGCATCCCGACAGACATCTGGGCTGGCATGGGCTTCTCCAAGTCAATGCCAGAGTCTGCCATCAGAGACAAGCTGGGTCAGATGGGCATCAGCGCTCGCTGCACAGACGCGGCTTTCAACTCGGGTTATGAGGTGAACAATTTGTCATGTGCACTTTTTCCTAAAGATGTGGGTGTTTGGATGTTGTTCTCGAGTGGTTTTCTTCTTCTAATTCTTTTGAGTGTTAGTTTTATTATCCTATTATTACTGTTATATTTGGTGAAATGTGGCTACTGCTGTTCTGACTTGGAACACAGTGGCATTACTGTCTAAAGGTGGGTTGTGCAATGTTAAAAGCTTGCACACCCAATGTGAGTATGTTGTCCTTGAAAAGTAACGGTAGACTTGTCTGTACCGTAAAACTGAGTTTGTTACCTTTTCTGGAGTGTTTGTTACTCTTTATACCTAGTTAGCAAAGGAAAAGTATGCAGTTCTGTTGTTGCTTCCATTTACTGTTTTATTTGGTTCCCTGTCTCTCTGAATTATTTGCTCCTTCTTCTCCCCTTTTCTATGTTCCCCTGTTGCATGCGTATACTTAAAGGCTGAAGGTTTTTTCAGTTATAGAGCAGCAAAACACAAACTGAAACACCTATGCTATTTAACTAAAGCAGTAACATATTGGGGAGTCTTTCTCCTCAAAACAGCCAGCTACATTTCAAGAGAAATCTCTTCTTTCTCTCCTCTGTTCTGCTGTCGTTTCTAACAAAGAATAGAATCTAAACTTTATATTGTCTTCTTGTTTGACAGGCCAACCGGCCAGAAATAGATCTTAGCATTGACAAAGACCTTTGGAACAACGATGAGAGCCCAGAAAGAGGCTCAGCACTGGTCGGTCGGCCACTGAACAAGGCGCCTGGAGAGTATCCGAGTCCAAGGAAAAAATGTGAGTCCACAATCATGTTCTCCCTCAGAGATGTAGAATGTTGTAACTGTTGTCATATTTCCACACTGTTGCAGTGTTATATATGCCTGTTGCATCTTTAAGTGTTGTCTTCTCTTTCTGATTTTATTACAACATATGATTAATGTTTTATTTGCAAAAGCTGAAAAAGAAGGTGGGGGGTTACAATTATCATTGCATAGTCTATCACATTCTGAGAGTTGTCCTAATAAGTGTTAAAAGTAGCGTTAACCTCTATTCAAATTTCAACCCACTCTCTCTTTCCTTATACATGACAAGATAAGTGTCATGAGACCTGTCTGAAAGTCTGTATATTTTTTCTCCTTTTTTCAAACAATTATCTCAAGCCCTCCACCCTTTTGCTGGATGGTTGGAAGGCACTCTAATATAGTCTGCTCCATTTTCTTTTCAATGTTACTATTGAACTAATCTGCTTCTTACCTTAGTGCAGGTGGTTATAAAGTGCTGCTGGTAGGTCCTACTTCTTTTCTCTTTCCTTTTATTACTTCTGCCTAACAGTCTAATAGATTCCCTGCTCTACATGACTCACACTGTGTCAATGCACTTCTCTTTGTTCAAATAAACTCTGTGTTGGTGAAATATCGCTACCTTAGAATTAGAATTACAAAGTTCTACCTGACAGTTTTGGCCATTTTGAGTTACTCTGACCAAGAGGTCAGAAACCAAATGTTCTATCTGTCCCTATCAAAATCGTAAGAATAGTCCTTATCAAGATGTGCAAAGAATTGCATTTTAAAAAGTTTGACATGTTGTAAAACTCAAAATTTTTTACTTCAAATTTCTCAAAACTAGGCATTGAGCAGATATAATTTTTTTATTCTGGGGTAGCGATGTGCTGACTGATCTTGTCGTGTGTTTCTCGTTTCAGTCCAGTACGGTTTGAGCCATAGCAACCACGTGGACAGTGCCAGTCTGCCCAGCAGCAAAGGCCTCTGGTCCACCAAGACGGACCTGGCCGAGCTCTTCAGTGCCCTGGGCCTCGGCAAATACACAGACCTCTTCCAACAGCAGGAGGTGAGGCACCCTGGTCGTTTACTCACAGAGTTGAAGATAGATGCAATAACAGTTACCTGTGGGCTCATATGACCTTATGCAGTTGCGAGCACCGTAAAACTCTTTCTACTAAACACAGTTAATGTGACAGGTTTAACAACAGCGTTTTGGAGTCACATGGCTAGACAGTCTATTGTAAGCTGAGTAGTAGTGTCTTCCGTGACCATTGACAATCTAGAAAAATGATAACTAAATTATAATGGGAAATTCCTGTTACCTTTACATTATAAAAGAAGGTAATTATTGTACAGCAGGCTGATAGCTCAAAATCCAGCCCATTTTATCTTAACTTTTGAACTAGGAGCACTTGGCCCTGTCCAACATTGCAATTCAGACTCCTGTATTTTGTCCTTTTCTAAAGCTGTTGAACAAAACTTTGGCCACGCTCTAAGATGTAATCATTTCTTAAACGAGTCTCCCATTCAGCAAATATTGTCTGTTCCAGATCGACTTGTCCACATTTCTCACCCTGAGTGACCATGACCTCAAAGAGCTTGGAATCTCAACATTTGGAGCCAGACGCAAAATGCTTCTAGCAATTGCAGGTACTGTACCATATGGTTGCTGTCTTATTAGTTTTGCAGCATGAAGAGGGGTATTTCACTGAAATATAGACCCCAAAAAATGGAATAGGTTCTCTTATCATTTTGTTTTGTTTTCAGTCTTGGTGTAAATCAATACTTGCAGTCAAATTGTGAGTGCTGATTTGTGTAATGTCAATGGCTTTTTTTTTTTTCGTATGATGAAGACCACTGCTATTTTTGGCACATCATTCTCATGTTTTGTCCGTTTTCTAAACCTTCTTGAGCAAATGTTGGTACCACTACACTCCCCCCTACATACCTCCATGTTAACCTCTAAATCTTTTTATTCTGGCCGTACCCCCCGGACTCTGTAGGCCTACCCGTCCTGGGGCCGCCACACCATATGAGTTGGAATTCAGTGTGTATATTTCAAAGTACTGTATTTCTACATTTACTCTTAGGTTTTAAGGATATTTGGCAGTTATGCTAGAAATTGAATGCAGTTTTTGTAAATGTATGTGGTTAGGTATTACATCAATTGCACCATGTAGATTTTGAGGTGTATTCCACCCTCCAAATTGACCCTGATTGCCGCACCCACGACGTCCCCTTGGATTTACTCATCTACCCCTACCCGTCGGTACTGCTCGAATTCCAGAACTGACTCCTTCATCATGATCTGAATTGCTATTAGACGAGTCTAAGTCCTGTTCATTATCATCCACAACGGAATTTACGGCACTTGATTCAGAGTCACTTTTGTTAAATTAGTCTCATTCCAGCTCCACTTCAAGAAGTACTTTGTCGGCCTTGAACGTGCATTTTCGAGATATCTTTCAAGCTTCTACACCCGTCAAAAACAAAGAAACCGCTGTTCATTGGAAAATTTAAGTATTCACTATTCAGACAGAGCTTGCATCGCCGTATTTTGGTAATTACAAGCAGAACTAGCTGTTTGACGAGACCATATAGCTGTTCCAAGTTTATTCGTAGCCTGCATAAAAAAGTTAAGTTAGTCTTATTAATGAGTTTCTGATTAAGGGAATAAAGTAGTTTCCAAAAAGCGTGGTATTGCATTTTGCTGGTTTTTGTTTTTATAGCCATCGTCTTTAATTTCCTGCTTCAGAGCAAACTATGTATTTTCAATATTAGCTTCCATCTGTGACGGGATGAGACTACAGGACATTATTATCAGAGTAACCATTAAAAATCCACCTGAAAGAGTTATGGTGTAATCAGAGTATAAGGAAATGTTGGTACCACTACACTCCCCCCTACATACCTCCATGTTAACCTCGCTGCCTGATACATATAGCAAAATGAGTTGGCAATCATTTTTGTTCTCTTTCTCTCTCTCTCTTTCTCTCTCTCCCAGATCTGAACAAACGACGTAACCTGATGCCACACAATACCAACTCCAGGCCACATCTCAGGGCTGTCACGGGGGCGTCCCGTCTGGGGTCAGGTCTGTCCAGCCCAGACTCAGATCGTGGGGACGCTGGTGGTAGTAGTGGTGGTGGCTCAGGACTGGCGCGAGGCGGCTGTGTGAGCGAGCTGTTCCCTTCACCCAACCCACCCTCGGCCCTCATGAATGCGCGGGGCGGACCTGATCTCGGGAGTTTGAGTGGACACTGGTAGCCTTGGGCTCTGAGTGGGCCCACTGGCCCACTTACACACTCGTGCGCAGTCTCTGTACACAGAAAGCATGTATAAATGCACACAGTGAATGCATATGTTCACATACACAGATATACTCACACTTGATATTGCCCCCAATATCTACACATGTACACTTACACTTACAGAATGTTTGCACATATACATAATCACATACACACATGCCCATGTTCACACACACTCGCACACACATATATATAACTCACACACACAAACGCATACACGCATTCACACACACACATGCCTTCTACCTACCTTTACACTGCGTCCACTAACCACAGTCTATGGCCCTAATGCTTATGATGACGGAAGTAACAACGATGATATCGACGAAATTTTTTTCGATGGATGATGTCCATTTGTTTCCCCCCCCCAGCCCTCGACAACAATCTTGCTCAACTTTGAATTGTGGACCTTGCTTGCGTGAAACGTGATGATTTGTATGGTACATTTTGTGTCCTGTCATTTCATGTAAAACTCCGCCCTCAGTGATTTCTCATCATATATGTATGGATTTGAAGCTGTACATAGATATTGTGATTGTTTCTACCTGTTCTGTACTAGTTTTCTTAATTAATGAGATGTATCACCAAACCCCGAAAGCTTTGTTTGTTTTTATTGTTTTAATTTTTTTTTCATGACAAGGAATGTCGTTTTAGAAGTAGAGTTTTCTTCATCAGTGGATGAAATCCCAGCCTCGAGTTTAGCACTGCTTTTAAGCCCCATATTCTGGGAATTCCATCGATAAAGAAATCCAGACTTTTCTCTCTGTATATCAATTTGGGTATTCCATTTTATCAGTGATATTAATCCTTTCAATGCGTCAGGTTTTCATTCCTGAGAACGCTCCTATTGTGTCTTTATTACTTCTGTGACGCACTCGTATGTCAGTCCAGAGGATAATAAGCATTGCTTTGAAGTACCTATATGTCAGGAGTGTGTCCAAGGGGTTAATTTGTTTATTTGCTTGCTCTGTTTCATTTTCCATATTTCCATATCTGCTTTTATGTGACATTGTTGGTTCGACAGTGCTGTAAAACTAAGGCTATAACTTAAGCATGCAGGAAATTTGGGTGTCTTCATTATTATTGTGTTGTAAGCAAATTCTCAACCTATACTATTAATTAAAGACCCTCAAATTCATACTCAAACACCAGCCATCAAGGCTGAAGGTGAGTTTGTTGTTGTACCGATTGGTCTACCTGTCAGATTGAGTATTCTTTTTTAGTTGATCATGCACTGTAAGAAAGATCTTACGTCAGAAATTGTAATATGTGGATAGAACTCACCTTATCCAGTGCCATGACTTTTTAAAGAGAAAATTAACCTGTGACATCCATTTGCTTAAGTTTACATGTATTAAAAAAGTTCCACTGTTTAGTAGATTATAATTAGATGTTTGAAATATTAAGTGTAAAGAGATAAAAGCTTTGGTCAACCTTTTATAACACTGATTTCTTAAAATGTCATCCACTGTCAAGATTTTCATCCATTGATCCAGTTTGATGTTGTATAGTAGATAAACCAATATGAAGGACTTTAGCACTCCGTCCAACCGGTTTAAACAAATTTACTCATTTCATCATTGCTCACATTTTTTTTAGCATATCAAGTATACATTTGATGAGATTTAGTGTTTAGAAAGCATCAAGATTTCTCGTGTAGATGCGACTCGCTTTATGGCTTTCTTTTTCATTTCGGCTCAATTCATAGTAAGCATAATGTAGTTTTGTTAAAACACATCAGCAAAGTTTGTGTAGTGGCTTTGTTGAGCATACATCACCTGAGCGCATATTGTAGCTGTGCCAAGCCAAAGATAGTACATAACAAGATAGTTTACTCCTCTCTTTGAGCCAATTTTAAAAAAGCGTCCTCAAAATGTGGTGGCGTCCTCTTGGAAAAAGCGCACCCTTTGCGAACAGTTACCCCTACTTGTGTGAAAAAAAATCAAAGTGAAACTAACAAGTTTTTGAATAAAATAGAATTCAAACTTCTCAAGAATGCTTTTTTAAAATGCTTACACTGATAAAAAAAAACCTCTTCCGGTGGAGGCAACTTTTTTCTTCGTTTAATTTTAATTTAGAATGAGAGGCGAGAGGTCATTATAATAAAAATAAAAATAAAACTCCGCATTGAACTAACCCAAACAGCTGATGAACAGCAGTCGATCTGCACCCTCAAGGAGGTGCTATTCCTATCCTTCTTCCAGAGAAAAGTAAGAGAGCTTCAAAACAAAGACTGCAGCGCCATCTGAAGCAATGAGCAGACTCCTGCGGACACTTTTTTGGCTGAGTGAACCATCTTGTTTTGCAACGTCTTTGTTCGAGCACACTGTAACAAAGTGCATATTGTAGCTGTGTGGCACACACATCAACAAAGTACATAATATAGCTGTGGTGAACGGACATTGGCCAAGGGAGTAATCGAGCCAAGTGAATATGTAGCTTTGTTGAACATGCCTGAACACGCCTCGTCCAAATGAATAATGTAGCTTTGTTGAACACCCTCAGCCAAGTGAATAATGTAGTTTTTGTTGAGCACCATGTCATATCAGTTTGATCTTAGTTCAGTAGGTGACTCTGACCGTCTACGTTTTTATTATCAACACTACGTGGCCATCACTACTGATGCCAAAAACACTTTTGTTCTATGCAAATTGTACATTGATCAGTTTGACTATATGTAGCATTCTTACTTGCTAGATGTTCCGTGGGTATCACAAATTGTTGTAGCTGTACATATCAGAGAAAATGTTCCTGTCCTCAATCCTGCCAATTTTTCTTCTTTTTTTTTTCCAGCAAGTTTTTCAGTATTTAAATTAATTCGACCCAGTCCGTCCATATGTCCAGGCTCTATATTGTGGAGATTTTTTACATTATACACCTATCTTTCATTCATGGAAATTCTCTAGTCTTAGAATGAATGAATTTTTTAATTTGTTTTTCCTGTTCTGCTGTCTGGAAAGTTTGTTCTGTAACCTACATGACTTTCCTATTCTTTGATGGTCTGTCATGTCACTTAAGAAATTTTTAATTCTTTTGATTGTCCTGAAATTTGTCTTGCACTATTTTTAGCACAAACAATTTCTCGTTGGAATTGACCTGAACACTTTGTTTACAGAGGAAGTGAAAAATTTTGTTTGTTTCAGACAAATATAATCCTGCTGATATTTTTTTGACAAACAGTTGTTCTGAAAAACAGATCTTTTTTACAGTGAAGGTGCTCGCATGAAAGCAGTATTATTTACAAACATTTTCTCAGCTGGATAATTTCATCAGAATTTTATTGCTGACTATTATTGTGGACATTGTTTTAAACATGCAGAACTTAAACTACCTATACTGTAGCACCCAACCTAAATTGCACAAATTTTTTTTACCTCGCTTAGACCTCTGCACCCTTACCTATATGAAGAAAGTAAAGCTATCAACTCCCAATGTGCAACAGCTCTGCAGCATCTGAGCTTGCTAAGTTAGCATGAAAGATGCAGCTCATTGCAACTTGTCATTTCTTTCTACTGTTCTGTGAACTTTGAACTTAACAGGTAATGTGAGACTTTGAAGAGACTGTTTGAGTTTGACATCTGAAGTCTCACATTTTTTTCTTAGTTTGCATATGTTGTACATGTACTGAATTTATGCTACCTATTTGCCTTCTAATTACTAAAAAAAAATGTTTATTAGAGTACAGTGATGCATCCGATGCCCTATGCTGTTTTGTGGGATAACTTATGGTACATGTTTTGAGATGATGACTGTCATCGAGGTCAACCAAGACAGATGCACATCGTTACAGCATGATCTTCTCATATCTCTTGGTGCCAATGACATGTCAGTGATCACACCATAGGAAAATGTTAGATGCTTTTTATATATATGGCAGACATGCTCTTCCGTCCGTTTCACATTGCGCTTTTTGATGATCAGATTTAATCAAGCTTGCTACTGTGAAATCCGTGGGTCTTCTCTCGGAAGATTCCAGATTGTAAAATATATATCACTTTATTCAGTCAAACTTTTATAAGTAACCTCCTAATGCAATAAGAGACCTTTGCGTGTGTGATACTTGTTATAATAAATGTAATAAAAAGGCAAATGTATCTATAAACAGACTGTGTCTGCAAAGTGGCTTGAAAAATGTGATGGTAACATTTTTACGTGCATTTTATTTATGTGGATTTTGGAATGCCTATTGTAATAAAAGAAAAATTTTTGTCGTTCTACTTTTCTGTGTTCTTCTCATACTGAGGGCATGTTGTACTGAAGACAAAATTCACAGGCATCATCATGTTTGCTGTCTCATTTTCTAAAAAGAATTTCAATTACATTTCATTCATACTCCTAGCTTGACACTGGTTTGAAATTGAGTTTAACTGGTGATAAAGTAAGTGACTTTACTTTATTATGTATGTACTTTAATTTGAGCTATCGACTAAAATGAGGTGTGATGAGAAAAAAGAGGGAGGTTTACTAGTTTACTTTCAGTCATTAACTGCTTTCTCTTGTGCATGAAAGCTTGAAGATTAAACTGGGAGGAGGGGGGATGTAGAAACAAGCTCAGCAGAGGCTTTCTTGAGTTTTCACTTCCTACAGATCTAACCATGTGTTGACTGAGGTGCTCAGTGGTGAGTCATAAACATAGTGCAGTAAGTCTCAGTAGGTTATTCATTCAAACTGGCGCACTGCGTTGAAGGTTTCCATGCTGCTGGATGTGAAATTTGTAATGTGTTCTTAGTAATATGGTAGTAAAGGTTGGTATATATATATATATACACACACATATATATAGCCTTTATTCTTTGTTCTGAGGGTAACATTTGTGAATGATCATAAACGCTTATATTAATGTAATCTCTACTTGTATTATATTTATTCTTGCTGCTCTGAACAGATAGGCTACATATAATGCATTCTGTATTTTTTTGTGCGTGAAATGTATCAGATCTATGATTGAATTGAAATTCCTTTGTTACCACATCAGTTGTATTGTTGTAGATATAATATTTGTTGACTGAGCTCAAACACTGATGGTGTGACGTGCATGAACAGAAGTTCTCAGTGTTTTGACTTTTGTCGTGCTGCCCCAAGCAAGGTCCACATTCACTACATCCATCAAAACCCTGGGGCTTTACTGTCTGAGTCATGGACACTAACAAGTTACTGGCCTTTTTTCCCCATTTTTTTAACTTGGGGGGGGTAAACTTTTGGTTACATTCAATCCGAATTTAGTCGTATTAACTTATAAAAATGAATTATAGAGGGAAAGAAAAAGGAGGTTCTGTTTCTGTAATCATTTGTCAGTTCGCAGTTTGACACAATCTTTCAAGCAATAATGTAGAACCATGAGCAAGTTTCTATAAATAAAGCAAAATCAACCAAATGTGGAAAAGTCGTTTCAAAATGTTGAGGAATTTAAAACAGTATCTTCATAGATAGGACATGTCATTTTGGACATTCATTGTGGTCTTAGGTTTTGGGGTTTTTTTCTATTTCTGATTTAACAGTTGCAGTTACAGCTGGGGGGGGGGGGGAATGGATCATTTTGGGGAGATAAATGTCAGTTTTTGTGTTTGCCTGAGCTCCTGAAGTGACCGTGATCTCTGTAAGGTGCAGTAAAGCCCCAAGGTGTGTGAGGATATAAGATTGGCTTCACCTGACTTCGATATGATCCCACCAAAGTCCACACTGGCTGTCAGAAAGAGGCTGGCAGCTCATTCATGCTCAGGGACCGCCTGAAACCTTTTTTTCTTTTTATGGCTTACAAATATTGTTTCTTAGCTGTCACCAACAGAAAATGAAAGATTTTTTTTTTCTCTCAGAAGCTTCAAACAGGTTAAAGATTCATGTTTGTTTCAGTGAGGAGATTGAGTTTTCTAAGATATGGACATGTGACTTTCCATGTACTTCATATTAACAGTAACTGAGTAACAGTTAATAATCAGTTATAAAATGGTAGTAGCTTACCATGTATGCACTTCATGATTTTGCTTGCTTTCTACACTATTACATCACAAATTTTGACCAGATAACAACACGAGAGCTGGGTTTGTTTTTTTTTACACTGTAGGCCTACTCAAATTATGCCCAGAAAAAAAGTGCAAAAATCCCCACTTTTGCAATACTGGTACACACATTTTTCCCTTTCCTTTTACTTTCCCCCTTGTTGCTGTCTTTTATGAGAAAGATCTTTAGTGAAAGTAAAAATATGTTCCTCTTCTTTCTTAAATTTACTCTGGCACACTCTGGTCTTTAGTATTTGAAACTTTGCATAAGAAAGTGCTCTCTCCCTCTGACACTAAGACATTTGCAGGCTTACATTCTTGTCCAAACTCTTACCTTAAAGTTTACTTAAACAAGCATGGTCCCCTCAGGAGGTGATTGAGCTGTCAGCCTGAAGCAGCCAAAGCCTGTACCATTTAGCAGTTTTGTCATGTCCTCATGGCGTGTTTTGCCATGACACGTTATGTGCTTTTGACGTGTCATGTCATGTTTTATTTCCTGATGTGTTACAACGTTATGGCGTGTTGTGTCCTGTCGATGTGTTGTGGCATATGGTGATGTGTATGTCATGATGCATCATGTGCTGACACATTATATGTCCTGGTGATGTGTTATGTTGTGACACACATCTCTCTTGTCCTTTGTTTACCCTTTGGTCCCCGCCAGAGGCTCAACAAGGGCACTCAGTGTGTGGTGCAAGAAAAAAAAAATGGAGACACTTTTGTAGTGTTGTAGAGACAAAATACAGTGAAACATACTCTAGGATGTTGCTGCTAGAGTCAGTCCAGTGGATTTGTCAAACAATGAATTTTTTTTTTTAATTTATTTAATCTGGAACTCAAATGTTTCCGAGCAGTTTTGGGGGTTTTCTCATACTCAAACAAAGGAGCAGATAATTTTCTTTTTTTGTTGTTGTTGTAGTGTGGAAGAAGAGTTTAAAATTTAAACGTTTGTGGATTTTTTAAAAACTTTTATTAGTTTTATTCCTTTGGATCATGTAAAAGATGTCAAGTCATTTACTAATAATATGCATTGTGCTGCTGTCCTCTACCTAAAGCGGATATGTCTGGACAAAAAAAAGCAATTAGTTCAAAGTTGTTATCACAAATCACAGGGTGTTTTTCTTGTACATGCTGCCTTTGATCGGGGGGTTTTTTCTCCTTGAGTTGAGTTTTATCAAATTAAATGAGCACTCGTCAAACTAGATGTAGCTTTTAGGTGAGCTACAGGTATCTTTATGTTTCTGTAGGTAAACGAGAGAGGTTGAGGAATTTCTTAACCGATTGCCTTTTGTCAGTATTATGATTTGTTTTTGTCTCTTTTGATTTGGGTTTGTGATTTCATGCAATTTAGATCTTTTTTACCAACAGCATTGTGTCTGGTCCAACTGCTGATTCTAATTGCCATTGTCTTGTTTTTATTGTACTAAGAAAACAGAATTGTTTAATTATTTTCCAAGGGAAGCACTGGAAATTTTCATTAAGAAATGAAATGTTATTAATGATTGTTGTTCAACTATTTTTGTACATGAAATATTGTGTACATATATATACTTTATTTCAGTGAAACGATTTCCGTCCAAAGGTGAATTAGGTAAGGGTAAGAGTGTGATATTTTCAAAAGGATATCGTCATAATGATTTACATCACAAAACCTGGCTACAGTATTCATGTATTATTTTGTTGGCTTTTCGATTTACTTTGTAAGTTGTTTTTAGCGTCATACTCTGCTTCTGTTTATAGCTCTATCTGCAAACAAGTGTGATCTTCTCTTTTCTCATGCAGCGACAACTTGCTTTACTTTTTCCCCCCCTTTTGATTTAAACAAAATAATTTTTTCCCAGAAAATTTAACTTTCTTTCTCCTAAAGAATTCACAAAATAAAACCAACCTGAATTCAAACTGTTTTTGTGTTTGTGAATTTTTATGTCCATAATACTTTTCTATCTGATTATGCTTAGCTTGAGTGTTACTACTATTACTAGGCATACCTGTTAGAGTGCCATGTGGCATCATAAGATGTCCATAGTACATGGCAGGGGACCTTCTTTTGCCTTTTGCTTTTGTTGAAGGTTTTTTTTGGGGGGGGGGTTGTTGTTTATGTTTCACGGGGCTTGCAACTGCTTAAGGTCATATGAGCGTGGGGACACATTAAACATTTTTAGTTTTGTAGGAATTAATTTTGAAATTCGCCCGAGCAGCGGTTTAAGCCTATCCTCATCGATTTGGACTTCAAAGGGATCTTTAACGTGAGCAACTTGCACATGTTGAAGTTTAATGCCCTACTAGACACTATGCATGTCATTGTGCTACGGTCTAGCGACTCTGTGGGCCACAGACTGACTGTGACAGGACACCAGTCCTGGAGGAATGAGAAAAATAAATTTGATTCCCTCCACTCTCTGATTAAGTTGGTTGTCCAGTGGGTGCTGCCCAGAGGACCTTCAAAATGGTCCAAGTCTAACCAGTCCAAGTCAGGAAATACCTGTGTCTCATCAATGGCTGATCCTTGCTCACCGATGCTGTGGTTTAGTGCCGTATGAACTGAGCTGATGACATGCCCAGTCCAGGAGCAAACAGTTTATCCAGAGGCTTTGGTTGCTCCAGCTAAACTACAGAATACTACGCACTCTCATAATATGACCTTAGGGTTTATGCAGTTGCTAGAGCTGTAAAACACAAGAAAACCCACCAAAAAAACAACTGAATACGCATGTCTTTTATTAATTTAAAGTAAAGTTCATACGACTAGCTCTAGCAAAAATTGGTGAGTGGTTGGTGGGTGCTCTGGTATGGTTTGCTCATTCTTTCCCATCAAACATCTATCGTCCTCATCTCTCCTCCTGCTTTTTTGTGTTTGTTACTCTTATGTAACTCCTCTAATTTTCGGCACTTCTATGTGTCACGACAAAGTGAAATCAGGTGCTCGTCAATTTTTGGGCATGTGGAGTTATTGGTATCATCTTAAAGCTGATTTATTTGCCTTGCTTTCAGAGAAGATACCCATCTATCTTGAATAGAAGTCGAGATATTTGCAATTGAAGGAAATGAGGTCGCCTGGTCTAAGTTGTGAAATTAGAGAGAAAATGGCCGCTAACTCTGATAGCTAAAGAGTCACTGAAAACAGAAAAATTACATATTTTGTGCCTTAAAACAATGTTTTTCAGTCAAATTCACATGGAAATATAAATGTGTTTTTATATGTACATAAAAGAGGTTGAGCCAAAAATAAAATTTCGATTTCTGTATTTTGACGAACGCCTGATTTCACCACGCTACCTCACATATTTATAAATTACCTTATTGTGTCGCAAGTGCCATAAAAGACTGGGTAAAACAAAACAAAACATTTTTGCAAACCGTAAGGTAATACTATAATTTTAAAAGAAGAAAATAGGTATTCATTTGTCACTCTTACTTTGTATGCATAGTGTCACCAAAAAAAGAACTATATACACACAGAAACTTTTGACATAAGTAAGTTTTAATAAATTCAATGATGATACATGTATTATAGTTAGTTACTGATCAGTCGAAACATTCTGGGGACTATTCAGTTGTTCAATGAGAGAGGATGATGCCATATTCAAGAACAGAATCACCGCAACACTGACAAAGTCCTGTGTACTTTTGGGTGCGAGGCAAGATCTATGACATCTACACACTGGTGAGACTGATAGTAAACAAACACATATACAATGGAGTCTGCTTAAACTTCAGCCAAACGCAATTGGTCTGAAAACAGCAGCTGCCAAGATCAAATATAATCTTGATTTTTTTCCTTCTATTTGAGCAACCTCTATCAAAACATGGCTAAACCAAAGAAAATCTGGCAATCCAGCAGATTCCTGTTTAAGTTAACTCCACAGCATAGAGGAACTGTTATATCAAAATAGACTACACTGTAACTGTTTGTTCCATAATGGTCTGCATTTCAGGTCGTATGATAATGGTGCATCTTGTGGATAATTTGTCAAATGCTGGTTTCAGCAAGTAATTAATTCTAAAGTTATTCAGCTATAATTATACGGTACTTTTTTAATTACGTGGGGTGAACATGATATCCAACTAGTTCACATCTACGTTAACACTTTGCCATCATATATTGGGGAAAATCCAAAGAAACTGGGTGGTAAACATCACCAATTGGCGAGATGAGGCGGCAAAGTGTTAATGGACCGAATCAGAAGATCAGATTAAACCAAGTATACATGTCAAAACAAAATCCTGAAGCTTAAAAAAACAAACTTCATTAACATCATATAATTGTAGTTATAAACATATATATTGCTTGACACGTACCATTTTTTTCCCATCATTATCATTACCGGTATAGCAAGGCTACAAATATTCATTACAAGCATTGCCAAAAATATCAAATCATATGACAAAAACATATTCCACACACAAGGACACAGGAAGAGAGCATTTCAAGAAATCCAGAAGACGCTGACATCCCACATGGAAGTTGGCTGTCTTTACCTTCTAAAAGGGGAAACAAACTATTTGATCTTTGGGAAAGACAAAATATTGAAAGTGGGCTAAGATATAAAACAAAATCTAAATAACTAAAGAAACTAGAAACATGGTAAACTAATACTGTAGCCTTTGATCCCTTGGGAAAGAACAAGGGGGTAAAAGCGGATATAACTAAACACCACAGCTAAAAGCTGAGATTCAAGCAAAAGCTCTGAAATATTCATCACTTTTGTGTCAATGTAAATTTTTGCTGACTATTTTCCCACCAACGAAAATTTGGGTTTTGTATGCAAAACTTGGGAAATTTAAAGAAATGCAGAAGACTGATGCACTGACTAAAAGGAGAAGGTTATGGCCACAGTGAGAGAGAGAAGGAGGGAGGGACAGAGAAAGAGGGGGGGGGAGTAAAGTAAAAAAAATCGAGGTTGAACAGCTGAAAATCTTTCAAACTTCACATATAACAAAAATATCATTGCATTCCATTCGTACTTAGAGACCAGAAACCTTGGAGGCAGGGCCATTGAGTAAAGTTTCATTCCGTATGGAATTGAGCCACATATTATAGGCAGCCCTTTGGGTCATAAAGTACTCCTCAAACTTCTGTCGCAGGGATGCTAAATTTGGCATCTGATCGCATGATGGAATATTCAGCATTGCAGAGAAGAATTCTTTCCAAAGTGGAACATTCCATTTCCTGAGGGAAAATAAAACACAAAATGTCTGCTTGTAAATCATTAAAAATATTTTGTGACCCCATCAAACCCAATTTACACTTTTCTGCAAGCAGACAGCTCCAACCGCCTGTTAGTGTTAGGGCCAACACCGGTCAAAATATAAGCCCCAAATGAGAATCATGTTGCCATCTTCCGCATACAAGACAAAGAACCTAACCATTACACCTACGCCCCAAAAATTTGAAATTCCCTCCCAAAAGAAATGCATCAGAGAGTTTAAGAAAAATCTAATGAGGTTTGTTCAACATTATCTGCTGCCAGGAAATCTTGTAGAGAACATGTGTGGGTCTGGAAGTTGTGTGTCTGTGTGTGCATGAGTGTGTTGCTAAATGCTCTCACAATGTGCCATTTTCTGTCTTTTGATTTGTCAGTTGAGTGATAATTCTGCATTGTATAGTGAACACTCAGAGCCTTCTAGGGATTAAGCCCTATAAATTCCCATTATTATAATTATCATGATTATCATTACTAGATCTATTATTACTATTATTATTACCATTATTATTAATGAATTTTCATAAGTATGAACGTCTTTAGTTGCCCTCATAACAAAGGAAAAAGGACATTTTGGAAGTCCCACAGGTAAAAGAATGCAAAGATCAACTTGCGCAAAACATTGTCAGTGCCAAAGAACAATATAACGAACAATAATGCAAATAACACATGAAGACTTCTCTAGCAAAGAGCATTTAACGTATGAAGAGGAATAAATACTGAGCTTAAATATAAAAAACCCAATAAAATAGTGAACAAAAACTAATTCTTTAATCAGCATCTCAGAAATGCGAACTTAGATCAAAGAAATACAAAATAAAAAGAAAGTACACTTGGATAAGGAAAATAAAATGTTAGCCTCTAAACTCTAAATCAACCACAAAATCAGCAGAGTTTAGAATAAGGAGATTGTAAAAACTGATCAAGATATGCTTGATAAGTAATACGGTGAGCAGAAGAAGCGAAAATTAATTGGTAGGTAAAAACATGAAAAACCCCCAAATATGAGTAGAGTTGCAACTGACTAGTTGTTGATTTAGCGAGTTTGGACATACCTGTTGAAAGAGCCTGTGGTCTTCCATTGACCTTGCTCCTGGAACACATTCATGTAAGAACCAAAGAGAACAACGTGGATGGTGCCTGCCAGCCCAAACAGATCAGTCTGAGGAAAAAACAGACATCAAAATATTTAAAACTATATTGAAACTAGTGAATATCATTAAAAAATAGATAAACACCAGCGCGCGCGTTCACACACACACACACACACATACACACACAAGTTTGCACCTTTTCTGCAGACCTACCACCTTATTCGTTATCAAGCTCTCTTAAATGCCCATCTGTTGACTAAAGTCCAGTCTAGGGGAACAAAACAAAAAAACACCCTGATACCCCTCCGCCTCAGAAATGATTTATGCAAGTCCAGTAAGAGTAAGGCCTTAAACTTAAACGTGAAGTAAAGAACAAAACAAGGGCATCAATGACCAGCCACTAAACTGGCCGGGTGACAGGGCAGAAAACACAGGTGACTGACCTGAAACGTCCACGGTCTGTCCGTCCTCATCTCTATACACTGGAAGCCCGACGTCGCCACCGACGCTGTGAAGGTGGTGCCCTCAGGGAACTTGGTCAAGTCTATACTCTGTCCAAAGTCAATCAGACGAACCAGTCCCAGCTCAGAGCCAAACACAGCTTCCCGGGAACCGTTCTCAGAGACATCCCGTCTGAAACAACAACACAACAAGAAATTTCTAGATACATGTACCTCCAAATCCATACAATTACAACTGTCAAAGAGAGAGAGAGAGAGAGAGAGAGAGAGAGAGAGAGAGAGAGAGAGAGAGAGGGAGTGATGGAGAGAGAGAGATATATATCTGAGGATAAAGAATGAAAGTTAATAATAATAATAATAATAATGAAGATCATTTCTATAGCGCCCACTCCCGTGTAAACACAGCTCTGGGCGCTTTACATAAATGCATGTACTCATGTACGAACAATATTCACGCACACGACACACAAATATACACACAAACATATACACATACACACTCAAACACACACATACACACTCACGAACACATAACACGCACACATGTGCACACACATGTAAGCCAAACACACACATACGCGCGCGCGCGCACACACACGCACACACACACACATCTACTTGCTTATTACACGCACACGCTTACACATCGTCACGAAATGAGCATAAAATAATATACACACTGCAATTCACAAAATACATAAATGGATACATAGTGATTTACATAACATTGTGTTGAACATGAATCTACTGACATAAAAAGGATGTCATTAAAAGTTGCATGACCTATAGAGAAGTACACAGATGAGATGCAGCACAGGCTGTTTTCTGCTTTTTAACAAGAGGAGCGACCCTAGAGGACCATTTTCTATGTTTGTTGCCCGAGATCAAATCTAAGTACACATATATAAGTTAGGCATTGGGAAATCTCTTGATACTCAATTTTATTTTGGCATAGCTAAAGTGGTTGCTATGGAAACGGACGCCATCTTGAATTTCAAATCCTTAAGACTTTCTTATTTACAGACCAAATGTGACCAAATGTGTTGAGAGTATACCTGAACCAGACCCTATCAGCGTAACAGTGAGTTTTATTCAATAAGTGCAAAAGAAAAGAAAATAATATGAGAAATTTCACAATGTGTAAAAAAAACTTTTCTAAATTTAGGTTTCGTAATCGTTTGTCAGTGGAAAAGTGTTATATTTTTCTCAAATATCTCTCTGTTACATTGATGGCAGCCTTGTCATCTGTTTCCTGAAAGTTTCATGTCAAAAGGAAGAAAACTAGGAAAGGAGTAAGGAAAAACCGCAAAAAAATAACATTTTGAGAAAAACTACAATTATTGTGAAAATTCACTATATTTTAACCCACCCTTATGTTTTCAAAGGCAATTTACGAGGAGAATAAAGACTTTCTCAATTGTTTCCATGCTATTTTTAGACAAAGAACTAGTTGATTTTCGAAAATCAGCCAACATCTCAATTTGCATAGCTTGGACCAAAATCGGCCAAACTGAGGGTCGCTCCTCCCCTTAACAGAGAGAGAAAAGACACTGGACTGATGCAACAGATGGACAGCAGAATGGGACAAACCAAGTCACTTCCAATCTCTCATTTAAAAAAATAAATTACTGTCTATTGTCAAAATTATCTGCAAAATAAAATCTCTTGATCTCTATTTAAAATCTAAAGTTATTGAGTTTTAAAATGGACAGTCGTTTTTGTGGAATCTTAACAAAAACGGTGCACAGTATTGGAGATTCAGCCACTTTCTCGAAATCAGAAACACACCATCACTCCAAATTTTAGACAAGAAACAAGTAAGCCCAAACAACTAAACCTTAAACCCTCCAACCACCAACAGAATCACCTTAAACAGTAAAATCTGACACATCCAAATGTTTTTAGGTGAGGTTAGCTGACAAGACTTCTATGGTTCTTGTCTCTCCTTTTTTAACCTATTAGTTGAACATACAGGACATGTATGATTTTGTACTAAATTCACCAGAGAAAAATTTTAACAGAAGTTACTATCAAACACACTCTATATACGGGCTGACTGAAACTTGTTCCTGACTTTTTCAAAACAAAATCTAACTTTGGTAAATGGAGAAGAAGAGAGATGAAACACAACAGTAGCTATAAAGAATAAAAGCAACAATATAAACAAAAACAAGTTCACAAAACTGCACTCACATGTCCATTATCAGAAAGTTATCGGGCTTGACATCCCCGTGGATGAACTGGCACGAGTGTATCTGTTCAAAAAGGTGCAGCAGCTCAATGGTGAGCAGACAGGCAAACGGCTCCACACTGGCCTTCATGTGACGGTCCTGGCTGTACCTGTTCACCAGGCTCTGAGTACAACAGACAATTTGTTTTAGTTTTAGTAGACGTTTTACGGCACTCGCAACTGCATAAGGTCATATGAGGGCCAGGGGGTGGATGTCAACAGAGAAGTCCTTACAGGGAATCAGACTTACTCTGCTCACCTCTCTAGCTTCAACAGCACAAAGTCTGCTTCGACTATCAAGGCACCCCGGAAAGAGCGGGTCACAAGACCGTGACAAACATACAAAAGAAGTAGAGGAAAATGACGATAGCAAGGATTAGGAAAGAAAAAGCAGCAGTTCCCTGTTGTAGTTCAGGCAGTTATGAGCATGAAATTGTTTGATCAGCCCATTTACAATTCTACTGTGCATTAGAACGAGAAATGTCCCCCCTTTGGGAATGGCCTAAAGACACTTCAGTCAGTGGCACCGCCCCGGGGGGTACAATTTATTTATGGGCTGAGATTTGGTTTAAAGTTTTATGGCACTTGCAGCACAATCAGGTCATATAATTACTGAAGATAAGAGGTGTTACAAGAGTATAAAATACAAACAGAACAGGGAGAGAAAAGGACGACAGATGTCTGATAGGAAAGAAGGAACAAATCAGATCAAAGCACCCGCCAACCATTAATTATTTATGGTCTGAATTAGTAATGTTGTCACAACACTCCATATACTCACAATATTCTGTTGTTAATTTTCGTATTGTTTACAACAAATGAGTACAATAACAACTGCATTTTGTCAGAAAACGAATGATGACAAAAGGAATTAAGAAAGGAAATAGAAGTAGCAGACTACAAAAGACCACTCGTCAGCCACCCACTCACATCATGAACCAGAGTCAATGCCCTATTCAGACCACTAAAGTCCTTTTTAAAAACAGATTGAAGACGGCAAATAGAATAATTACATGTACAGGGTGATCCCAAAAAAACTTTTACAACTTTTTTTCTGAATATCTTGCACAAAAATTGTTCTAGAATGCTGTAATTTGGAACAGACATAATTCATTCAAAAGGAATTTGTTTGATATAAAATTATAAAATCCACGAAGAAGAAACATGTTTTGAAAACGGAAACGGCTTAGAGAAAAAAGCACCCAAAGAAGCAAAGTTCACCCATGTTTACAAATCGTGTAAAGGAAGTTGTGAAAACATTAGTTGACCGTTTTCTTTATTTTCTCTTTGACATAAATTTTCCATCCCTGTGACATCTAAACAATATTTAAATTCTTTTACAGAGCTGAAAAAAACCCAATGATTCCATTCTGAAATTCCTAGAAGCAGTGCTCCACATTCCCTCCTTTCGACTCGACACATTTTTAACACGTCGTTCGAAATGTTCAGTGGCGCCCTAACACAAAGACCTGTTAAACCATGAGTTTTTCAAGCCACATACACTGTACATGTTCATTAAGAAGTGGCTTCTAGAGACAATAGAGTGGGGTGCCCAATAGACAGCATTTTTTAGTTAACATATCCCGCACGGTGAAAATGGGCTTTGCACTAAACCAAATGTCATCGAGGAAATGATCCACCTTTACAACAAGACAATCGAGGAATCATGAACACTTTGCCATGCTCTGATCCTTGTCATCTTGGCCTAGCGAAGATGAACATGGTAGTCTTAGGTTAAGATCTGCCATGAGAATGCAGACTGTTGATGTGTAGGAAAGTCCTAGCTGCAGATCATCCACAAACAGACGTCTCATGGGACTCGGCTATTGAAATCTGCACTCCGATGACGTTTGAAGGGCTGCGCATGGTGCATGTTCGACCTGAAGTGGTCATGTTTTTTAAAGAACTTTTTAGTTCTGATTCGCTATGGATCCAAACTGACAGGACTCCTCTACTCATGACGCCAAAGGTCTTGAGGGCACCTAAGCATTCTCTCAATGCCGTGAGCAGAACTTACGGAATGTCAGGGATGGTGAGTTTGTGGAGAGGTAATGTTCAATACAAAAAGCTCTCTGCTCTTTACTAAACGTAACCATGATCTAAGCAGGTGAACAAAATTTGGGAAATATAATATCTGCAGACTTCTGTTGACTTGTTAGAATGCTGTAGTTTGCAATATGGTGCGATTGTCTTAACTTTAAGTGGTAGGCAGCGGCCTAATGCGAACTGGTGCGTCATGCTATGAAAATGGCGAGAAGGTTGAAAATGGGCTGTTTTTTTATTGCGCTATATAGAGCAAAACCATTCAATGGACTTATCTAAAATACATATCAGACAAATTCCTTTTGCCTTCCAAACATTATTTTCAAATCTGAAACGCAAAACTTCAGTATGGAGGAAGATATTTAAAAAACAAGTTGTAAAGTTTTTTTGGGATCACCCTGTATTTAGTATGTAAACTGAATCAGTTGATGGGGACAATTGTATAACGAATATGTTCATTGTCAATCAATCTATTTCTGGCATTAAGTTCTATAACTTCAAAAACATATTCCCCAAAGACCATCTTCATAAATAGCATATGGCACAAGTGATTAACCTGGTCCAATAATCTGCAAGAATCCTTTCTAAAAAGGAACATGAAGATAATCTCAGAAAGCCCTTTAAAATGAGTGAGCTACAAAAACAAACAGCTATTTTCGTGCCACTCTCAGACTTTTGTCTACACCACAACAACAAAAACCACAACTCACCAGCAAGGAGCCATTGCCCAAGTACTGCATCTCAAGCAGGCTAGCATTCTGATAAAAATATCCTCTCTCAACTTGTACCACTGCTGGTCTCTGTGCAATGCAAGAAGACAGTGAAAAGTCATTACTGACATTTGTGAGCACATCTGACTCTCATATGATGACAATGACAACAAGTTATAGAATCAGACTGGACACAGATTTCACATCAGACGAAAAAATGTCACTTATATTTTAGCTAACAGAATGTTTGTGCTAAAGAAAAAAATGATATAGATGCTCTATGGTACAAAAATTGTTCAAAGCTTGCTAAAATTATGAAGTTACATAATCTATTTTCAACTATTTCCCAGGGACAAAAAAGATCTATAACTCTCTTATTCATTACTGAAATGCCCACTCAACTTAATAATCACTGAAAACACAAAACATCTGAAAATACAGATAAGTCTAGGTCTGTGTCCTGATCTAAGTTTTTGAAGCAATTCTTTTTTTACAAAACTCTACTCCAAATCAAATTCTGTACTCCTGAAAGTAACCTTCGGTCACTGTTAGATGTAGAGCAAGAAAAATTACATTTTTACTAAGTCTCAGGATATGTTTATCTGTCTGCAAACCTGACATACTTAGATCCACTTAAACTTATATAAGGAGTCCATCAATTTCTAAGAGCTAAAATGGTAATATAGTGGGCAATTCGAACTGTGCCTTTCAGAGTTACTTAACACAAATTAAAAACTATAAAACACTTTCAATTAGTTTTCATCGACTCAAAGAAATACAAAGTGTCTTTTAGAAGATCAATCATGGTCCAGAACAGAGAACTGTTGGGGCCATGTACATAGCTTCTTGAAATATGCAATGCATTTCACATGGTTTGAGTAGAAACTTTATATGATACATCATTCAACCCGTCTTTTTTCCGTCATGCATTTGCTTTCTGTTACTCACAAGATTCGACAGTTTGTCAGGTTAGAGTCTAACTTTCATCTATAATAATAATTAAAGACAGACAGCACTATTTGACTATAAGCCATTCACAGACAGAACGACAACTGATTCACACAGATATGACTGCAAAGGCGAAAAACAAAGCCTGATGGCAGCGTTCAATCTTCCTATGTTTTGTCTGACAGTAACGATGGTAAAATTAGAAAAACATTTCTTTTCAATCTTGAATATTCTTACATACATGAAGAAAGAACACACCAGCATAAATACATCATATAATTTGATTTCACAGCAGTGCCAATGTCAAGAGTGCAACACTACGCCCAATACAAATCTGAAAGTGGATTTATCAGAGATAGTAATTAGCCCAGACCTCCCAAACATTATGAGCTTGAAAAAACTTTTTCGGACGTAAGTTCTCAACAGTTTTGTTTGCCAATATCACGCCTTGTTTGGAAATAAAACAATTCTCTGTTCAATCCACATCACATCCATATGTCAAAACTTCAGACAACAGCATTTCTTTAATTCCATTCTAATTTCAATATTTATATACCTGCCCATATCAGAAACAAAAGGATGATAAAATAATACTGACGGAAAAGTTCCATGAGTTTTTTTAATAAGTAAGGTGACATCATTAATATTGAAGTCTTTCTTGTGGCGGTAAATAAGCATTCATTATTACTGAAACAAGAATATAATATATATGTTATTTTAACAAAAGTCTTACAATGTTCACGGGAGCGTGGAGCTGGCTGAGTCGCTGATGCAGTTCACAACTGACATAGAATTCCCAAAAGCATGGTGGGGACTGATACTGGACATGATAAAAAAGAGAAAACACAGATGACCATCACATGATTCCTCATATGAGATAAGATGAGATAAGATGAGACAACGGTATAAATATACAGGGTGATTTTTTTTAAAACCACTATACAACTTGTTTTATAAATATCTTCCTTCACAATAAAGTTTTGAGTTTCAGATTTGACCATAATATTTGGAAAGCTAAAAGGAATTTGTTTGATATTCATTTAAGATAAGACCATTGAATGGTATTGCTCTATATGGTGCATTTTTTTAAAAAAAAGCATTTTCAACCTTGTCCCAATTTCCGTAGCATGACACACCAGTTCGCATAAGGCCTACCACTAAAAATTGCAACAATTGCACCATATTGCAAGCTACAGCAATCTAACCTGTAAACAGAAATCTGCAGATATTATTTTTCCCAAATTTTGTTTGCCTGCTGAGATCATGGTTAAGTTTAGTAAAGAACAGAGCTTTTTGTATTGAACATTACACATTATTCGATGCCTTAGAGTAGTGTCAGCCTTCAACAGACAGTATGACTCCCTTTGACAAAGTAGAAAACTCAGTGAGAGCTCGTTGGACAGACATGACATATTTGAATATCACTAGACACAACGTTTCCTCCAAAGCACAAAGCTTGGTAACTTACAATGAGTAAATATAAAAATTTACACATTTTGCCAGTAACACACGTGGAAAATGGTAACATTGAAAAAAAAATAGAGAGTGTTGAGCCATACTGACCTAAACCGGCCTTCCCGTCATGTTGCCAAACAGGCTTTTACCGGCTTTCCCATTGTAGAGCTTTTACCGGCCTGACACACCCGCCTCTTGTGCAGGCTTAGAAATAAGAATATTCCACTCGAAATTTAAATGCCGACGTCCTAGCTATGTAAAATTTCATTGAAATATGTCACTTAGATTGAAAGCAAAAGCAATTTTTTGGCAACACCCCCTGAACCTCTGAAAAACACTGAAATATCGGTTCTGGGAAGGCGTCAGCTGGCTGCCATTTTGGTTCTGCTGTGCTGACTTGCTGATCTATTTATGGTGCTAAGAGGGTTAATGAGCACACAGGACATAAATGACTCACTTTGAGGGCGTAGGATGTCGGGAAAAAGTCTTCTGTCATATCCAGATCCAGGGCAAAATCACAGACCTTGTATATTTTGGCATAGCCGCCTTGTCCCAGCAGACCTTCCATGTCAACAGCTTTCCCGGCTGAAGCACAAAAAAGACTTAAGCTGAAAAATGTTCATACACCAACCAATCAGCAGGAGGGTTGCTTATCTGAGACAGGGAGAAGCTCATCAATCAACACAAAAGCAGTCATTCAGTTTGTGCAAGACAGACAGACAGAAACAACAACAGGGTGGTAAAGAGATGACTTCGACTAGAGACACCCTCCAACAGTCTTCTACTCTTAGAGAGAAAACTGATAGGCATAAAACATCGAGGGGGGGAGTCGTCGGTTATGATCAGTTAAAGTTTTGGGAGAAAAGGGTACATGCATCAACTCACAATTGACATTTAGTAAAGGTACTAAAAAAAGCAAGACAAGGCAGACAGAGACCAAAGAAGGATATGAAATAAGGACCTACAAGTGGCAGCCCAAGCAAAAACACTATGTAAATAAACATAAAAATAGGAAATAGTCTAACAACTGAGTAAATGAATCAGTGTCCCTCATGTGTTGTTGTTGTTGTTAGAGATCCAGTGTCCCTCATATAATAGTCGCGAAACACTTGGCCTCAACATTGTCTTAGTAAGTGTTTTACAGCGCTTGCAACACAAAAGATCATTTAAATGTTGAAGATTAGAGGTGTTATAAGAGAGTAACAAACATGAAAATTGAAAAAAAGGAAGACATTAGATGGTTGATAGGAAAGAAGCAGCAAACCACACCAGAGCACCCGCCAACCACCCCATGGCCTCAACATTATCAAGACGGAAATTTGTATTTTCCCTAGAAAAATTTTTGGGGGAATTGTAAAAAAGCAGTATCAACCCCTTCATAAAACTGTTCGTCCTATCATGAATATATTGTGTGACAAAGTTTACAGAACAACAAGACAACGTGACAACAACCACATATCCCAGGAACAGAACAGGATAATATATGTCGCAAAAACTGAAAAGAAAATGAAAGAAGAGTAAACAAAACAGCATCCACAAACTGTCAGCACAAGACCTGTTTTACCTCCTAAACGCTCCATTTATAAAGGCCACAAGAACACCTATATGGAACATTCCTACTTAAACCTACTGAAAACTACTTTCTTTTACTTTCTTGCAAGAGACAAAGAAGAAATATTTGTCTGAAAAAAAAATATATGATTTGTTAATAAAACATGTGAGTTTGTTGAATAGTCAAAGCCTATTGCTAAATACTAACCCAAATAACACATGCCAGTGTCAGGAATAAGCGGGACTTGTTCATTAAATCTGAAGAAGTTGGGGTAGTCCGAGAGAGGTGGATCCAGAGAGCCCAGGAACTTGGCTATGAAATAAATATGAGCAATTATGAGCTTTTCATCAAAAATGTCCAAAAACAAACAAAAGAAGAAATTACACGAACCAAAAATATACTTAAAACATCCAGCAGAGAATGAAAAGGAATTTACAGCACAGAATATCACTCGCAATATCTTTCCATCAATCACACGGTCGAGTGGAATTCAAATTAAAAGATTTTAAAAACATTCACATATATACGTATATCACAGTTCAAGTTGGGAGGGACTATCACCCCAAAAAAAATTTTGAAAACAAAAAAATTTCTGGCACTCCTGTTCTGTGCTGTAAATGTGTGGGGATTCTCATAAATATTTGAAAGATGCCATAGATCATAACAATGTGCATATTCCCTCCGCTTGTGCATTCAAACAAAATTTACTTCATTCTTCCTGTAACAGTCATACACATGATGAGCAAATAAGACAAGCCAACAAGACGGACCCTTCATCCTTCCCCCCCCCCCCCCCCCCCTTTTAGTAGAGGGTTTTAAGGCGCTCGCAACTGCATAAGGCCATATGAGCGCCAAGGGGTGGGTGTCAACAGAGAAGTCTTTACAGGGAATCAGACTTACTCTGCTCACCTCTCTAGCTTCAACAGCACAAAGTCTACTTCGACTATCAAGGCACCCCGGAAATAGCAGGTCACAAGATTGTGACAAACATACATAAAAAGTAGAGGAAATGACAATAGTTAGGATTAAGAAAGAAAAAGCAGCAGTTCCCTGTTGTAGATCAGGCACAGTTATGAGCGTGACATGATGAATCAGCCCATTTACAATTCTACTGTGCATGAACGAGAAATATCCCCCCTTCATTCTTTAATGAAAGCAAAAAGACCTAACCATTGTGAGCTGGACAAAGAAAAGTTTATACCGATGCACTCATCATCAAACGGGTTCTGTGGGTCAATCATGACAGAGGTGGACAGAAGCTCCCTCTCTTTATCGTCAGGGAGGTGGATGTAGGCAGAAGTGTCAATCTGGTGGTGGTGGAGGGAGGTGCTTAGACACTCGCCGCCAGGCATGCTGGCATCCCTGGAGATACATGAGTGTGTGATGTGGACATTGGGCGAGAGATGACTTCCTACTCGAGACTAAATAGCCACAGGTAAAAGGCAAAAACTAAGATTGAGCCTGGTGGAAACTTAGGCAAACTGTTCAACTAGTAATACTTAACAATAAGTAATCAATCACAGATCTGGGCAAGATGGCTAACAATTCTAAATCATTGTGTGTGTGTGTGTGTGTGTGTGTGTGTGTGTGCGTGTGTGTGTGCGTGTGTGTGCGTGTGCATGTGCGTGTGCGTGTGCGCGCGTGCGTGCAGATCTGTAATACACATCGGCAATCATGTCTATCCGTACATTCCTTTGCTCGGAAACTCTCAAAAAGGCCACATTATCCTGATTTTTTAACAATCATCACTTTGTTTATGCTCTCCAAGTAGGTCGCTCTCTGTCAACCCCTGCCTCATTTGCCTTTAATTTTCCCAGTGAGAGCTAGACGTTCAAGGCCTTCATGTCTATTCAACTGTCCCAGAAACTGCACTTGTTTTTTCCAGATTGTTTTTATCAGCGAGTAATTAACATATTTGCCTGATCATTTTTATAAGAGAATGAGTATCATATTTGCCTGATAGTTTTTATCAGATAGTGAGTAACATATTATGGACAACAAAAATCCAAGTTTTGAACCAATCACCTGTCCTCCTGTTCCTCCAATGGCTCGTCCTCAGCGATAGTCTGTTGGCACACAGAGCGTGCACTGCCATGTCTGGAGCGCAGTGTCACATTGCCAGATACACTGCTTGAAGTTTGAGACTGATGACTGGCTGAGGACTTGCTGTCCTCGCTACCGCCTTCACCAGACCCTTCCAGGATTGGACTGTGACGTAACAGAAGAAATCATTTTGAATGAACTTTTGATATTTAAAGCCTTTTAAAGAGCTTTTACGTAATAATAAACAGAGAATGCCTAATTTTGAAGACAAAGTTGTCATTTTCACCACCGCCCCTGTCTGAGCCCTCTATGATGTAAATATATATA